TAAATAAATAAATATAAAATAAATGTATCACCCTTCAGAATGATGTCTATGGGGCACTTGACAACCCAGAGGCTGTGTGGTGCTACTACTCCCTGTAAACACATGAGTTGTGCATGTGGGGGACCAGGTCCTTCTTTTACTTCAGGCAGCAGAGGAGAGCCTGAATGTATGAAGAAGACCTCTGCTAAAAGACATAAAACTTTGTGCTTTCTAAAGATGATATGGTTCAAAGGGGGAATGTCCCTAAGGGCAGTGAATTTCCCTCTCCATGGCTCACCAAAGATTAGACCATAATGTGCAGCTTGCTACATCTTACCTGGGACCATGCTTAGGGTTATCAGGGTTCGGCTGCAAAACTCTGGATGATCACTATATGGTAGCAAAAAATACAGAATTTTATATTTCAAAAACCATTAATGCACATAATTAGAAAGTTATTACCTTTCCTCTGTAATATCTTAGCAGTCTTTGCCCCAGTTTTAGTCATCGTTCTGTTTTTTCCTTCGGTACTAAATGCTCTAAGACATATTTGAAATTTGTTGGGAAGAAGATTTATGTTTGAATTAAACTTTCATTGAAAGCAGGCATAATGGGAAAATCCAACTTTTAAGGTTTCTGTCATTTATCTATTTATTTATTTGAAGTTCATGGATAAAAAAGGCACAAGTAGAAAAAAACGGTTTTGAGCAAGTAGTAAAAACATCTGTTGACTGTACAATCTGGGTTTGATCCATAAGCTGCATCTGAAGTTCCTAACTATTAATGCATATAGTCAAAGGCTTAAGTTCTTAAACCTATACTTATTTCCTATTTGCAAGTGAAAAACATTATTAAGATAGGCAATCAAGAAAGTCATATATTTATACCAGTTTAAGAGCTACCTTATCAGAGAACATAAATTATCCATCACTGCTTTTGTGTGAAAGGACCCTGACATATCTTTTCAGCTTGCCTGATTTTGTGCTATTATTTGTTATTTATTTATTTTATTTATTAAATTTTTATGCCCTTCATCTCCCTTAAAATATTATACTTATTTGTTTGTATCCATGGTACCTACAGTGGACATTTAGCACAAAATTTGATGATTGCCATTGTTATTTGTACTACAGTTACTATAATAGTGAATTTTATGAAAGTTTATTGCATTTTTTTAAAAGTTCAATTAATAATTACAAGTTAATGTATTTCAAAGAGAAGTGGTGGTGCAATAATTAGAATGCAGTATTGCAGGCTAACTCTGCTGACTGCTAGCAGTTCGATCCTGACCAGCTCAAGGCTAATCTATCAGCAATTGGTAAAATGAAGACCCAAATTGTTGGGGGCAATATGCTGACTCTGTAAACTGCTTAGAAACGGCTGTAAAGCACTATGAAGTAGTATATAAGTCTCAGTGTTATTGCTATTATTATTGTGCTTTCCAGTCCATAGGTCACAATTTTCTTGATAGTATGGAAACGTGGCATCCTGTATTCAAATCAAAACTTTCACCATGATCTAATAAAAGTTTTGATTTGAATACAGAACACCACATTTCCATGCTATCAAGAAAAATACCCCCCAGATATTTAAACTGTTCTGTTCTATGGAAACAAAAACAACCCATTATTTAAGGAAACATCTAGAAACATCTATACTAGGGGTGTCACATGGAAACTGTGCCCACCCCAACTCTGGCAAGGGGAGAAAAGTCATGATACGTTGCAACACATCACGTGACATGGTGAGTTTGACACCCCTAGTCTATACTCTGAAAGACTATTATTAAAGCTGCAGAATAAGAGAGCTGACTCTTTTATAAGGCCATTTTCTTCTTTTCTTAAGGGTTTGATGTATATTTTATAATGCTTCAGTCTATATCAAGCCTGTGATCCATGAAGTCAAATGCAATTCATCATACTATGATCTCCCCAGTGTTTGACTGCCCTGTTCGGTGCAGGCATCAAAGGCAGAGTTGGGGGGTCACATAATGAGGAGGTTGCTATACATTGATCATGGAACTGTAGTGAAACATGCCAAATTGTGAAAAGAGATGAACTTATTTTGGCTCTTAGTTTCAAGGCCATTGTAACCCACCTCTTATATCTTATACCTAAGGTTTTTATTCTCTTGACTCTGATGTTTGCTTTTTGATGGTGGCTGTTTCCTTATATCCGTGTTTTTAATTGATTAGCAGAAAGTATGTTAACAATTTCATAATTGCTTCACCCCTCTTAATTAACAAATATAAATCTCTTCATTCTATAATCTATGAAATAAGTAACCTTCTCCTTATCCAATTGTCAGCAAAAAAAAAAACTCAAACAGAGCTCTAAAATATTAAAATTAACTAACATAAAACTCAACTTTCAGCTATTGGCAAAACCCCATTTAAAAAGCATAAAAATGTCCCCAAATCTTAGTATAAATAAATTATACCTAAAGTTTAATATAAGAAAAAGAGGCCATTTCTCCTTAAAAGGGAAGGGCAAACTGCAGTACACTCATTCTAAATGCCAACCATCCCCAAGAGAACCAACACAACAACATATTCCATTCCAATAAACGTTTCACACCCCAAGTCTAAACAATCTAAGTAATCCCAGCATCTTAATAAAAAACGATTACAATTTAATCTAACAAAAAGAGTTACTCATTTAAAAAAAAACTCACACAATTAGGACACTACGTATTTAGATATTAAACAATTAGGATACAGAAAATAAGTATAAAACAAAACATTTAACAACCAAATAACCAAAGCCACATTTTTTCAATCAAAATATTAGTAAATCCAAAAAAGAACCATGCAGAATGACAACATGTTCCATTTTAACCTTGGTCAAATAAATCAATGTGGTCAAATAAATCAATGTGTCTTCCTTTTTTTAAAACACAGAACCATCTCAGTAGTTATTGATCCTTGTTACAAATTTCCTCTTTTCTTTAAGCTGTCTGTTTTGTAAATCCAACAAAGAAAATGATTCCCATTACTCTCTGGGATCATCTTTTTATTGCCTTCTTAATTTTTAAAACTCCTTACAGTCATTTTCTTTGTATCTGATGGCAGGTTCTTAGCCAAGGTTTCATTCATACAGTTCTCAAGTAGAATTTGTTGTGTATTTTGTTCTATAACATTTTGTTCTGAAGACAAACTGTTCTCAAAAAGATCCAACATGTCTGCCATAATCAATTCAAAGCCTTGATGCATCCTTGGTGGAGTTCGTCAGAGATATGTTAAATGCCATAATTTATTTCCCACAAACATGTATTTGTTTTTTTAAAATAATTTAAAAGTCTTAATATTCAAAATTCAATACTCCCGACGTTCTGTGAGCCCTTAATCTTTTTAAAAATTTCCATAGCCAAAGCTTTATTTGTTTGCTCTTTTATTTTAATTTCCTAAAGTTATACAAATAAATTTTCATTTTCTTATATTAAGGTTTGAAGGCACTCACTCACCAGGTATTGTCCCTTTGAAGGTATCTAGCTTCTTTCAAGCAGTTAACAAGCAATTTCTAAATGTAGTTAGCAAGAGAAGTGTCCAAATTTAGTGTCCTTTGAAAGGCTCCATTTACAGCTGAAGGAATTATGGTGAATTTCCCCCTCTCCCATCAGTAATCACCATCTTGCTGTCTATTTGTGAGGAGAAGGGATGACCATCGGAGTTGCCAACCGTTTAGGTCAGGGGTCTTCAAACTTGGCCCTTTTATGACTTGTGGACTTCAACTCCGAGAATTCCTCAGCCAGCATGGCTGGCTGAGGAATTCTGGGAATTGAAGTCCACAAGTCATAAAAGGGCCAAATTTGAAGACCCCTGGTTAGGTAATCTCACATCTCTCTCTTTTATCCAGAGAGAAACAAGGAGCTAATCTGACTCCTTTAAAAAGTCCACAAGAGTTGATTCTTCTTATTCCTGGAGCTGTCTTCAGTCAGTCATCTTCCTCAGAATTTTCTATAATTCATTTTTTCCCCCTATTGTTAACCATTTGAATGTTTTCTGGGCTTAGAACCAAAGCCTGCTTGTTATTTAGCAGATGCCAGCTTTTGGAATTATAATATATACCTCTAACCAGCTCATTGTTGTTCATATTGGCAAAGATGAAGTAAGGAGCCTAATGATCTCCCTCCTTCCACTCTCAAGTGTTGCAGTGGTGGCAGTGTTGACCATTAGCATGTGTCTGTTTTTGGCATATCTGCCCTGATTTTTCTTGGCTCCTGAGTTCCTCTCTATTCCACAGTCCAGGAGTCTTGGCACCCAGAAGGAACCTTTCTATTTTAAAGCCACAGGTTTGCAGAGCAAAGCTATAATTCATTTACACAGTGGAATGGCTAAAGGCAGTAGAAGCAAGGAGAGGAGACATGCCTACTGATGCTCTTTGGAAGCACACCTCCCCTTGGAAATGAAATGGAAAGGCTCTGATCCCTGAACACTTTTGAAAAATTGCCCTAATATCTATTACAGCTGCAAGCAGAACAGCTGAGAAAGCCTCTGGCAGTTCTTTGCCTGTAGCGATGAGTTTTACAGCTGAGACCAACTCCGCTTTTCAAATCTCCGAGTTGCCTAAATTATTCCGTGTTTTGTTTGTTTGTTTGTTTGTTTTAGTCTTCAGCTACACATGGACTTATTAGCTTTTTGCAGTGGGTGCAATTTCCTTTAAGCAAAAACATGACAATTTGAGCAAAGCTACTTGGCTGAGGTCCTTGAGCTTTATTTCTAATCCTAACTATGTGGCAGCTCACTTTGTGATGCTGATTTAAATTACTTTAATTTATTCCCAGAGGAAGAGAGATCAGAGCTTAGCCATGTTTCCTGCTCCTTGCTGTTTTATGAAAAGGCTTAGTGAACCAGAAAGTTCCATGATTGTTTATGTGATCTGCACCCCAAGGTGAACGTGCATCCCCAGTTCTATGGGCATTCTCCCAACTTAGGTACCCAATGTGATTTCAGTGGAAAGAAATATGCTTATATTCAGAAACAATCATTTTAGATAATGCTGTTTCTATGGCTGCTGATGCTAATGAAAAGCAATAGTGATGCTGATCATTATAACACTTCTTTTAGCAATATAACTGAGTTTGTTTTTCTTTGTTTTTGTGTTTGTGTTTTGTTCTAGCTGGGAGGCTGTGGGATCCTTGGAGTTGGCATATGGCTAGCCGTTACTCAAGGGAACTTCGCTACCCTCTCTTCTTCCTTCCCTTCTCTGTCAGCTGCCAACCTGTTGATCATTACAGGGACTTTTGTGATGATCATTGGCTTTGTGGGATGCATAGGAGCCATCAAAGAAAACAAGTGCCTCCTACTCAGTGTGAGTATAAAATGTGTCTTATCTATTTGTAGGCTGCCTTGTGACCTCAGAATGATTCTGCATATGTTAATACCTAATATGTTGTCAACTTCACATAGAGCATATCCCAGCATCTAATACAAGCAGTTTCCCATCTGGAGTAAGACACTTTTATCTAGAATCTTTAACAATGTTTACCATTATGAATTAATTGGTTGTGAAAAATGGGATGCATGTTTGTAAATACCTGAGGTTGCCATCAAGCAAATCAGATGACAATGTAAAAAGCAAGTCTATTACTTCTTGTGCCTTTAGAGATATAATTGATGGATTGTATTTGCTGATGGAATGGTTTTTGCCAGCCAAACATTTTTCCCCCCAGATCTTCTCAGGAAGTTGGAGGAAAGAGTGAGAAGCAATCCCATTGTTGGAAGTAGATTCCTATTTGCAAAACTCATTGTCCTGTTTTTACTTTTAGGTATACTCTTCTTTTTAACAACAGACTTGAGAGACATTTTGAAATTTGTCTGATACAGCAATAGATAATTAATTGTTTTTGTTTGTTAGGTTTACATCCTACCTTTCTCCAGAAGATCAAGGCCAGGAGTCTTCAAACTTGGCCCTTTTATGACTTGTGGACTTCAACTCCCAGAATTTCTCAGCCAGCGTGCCTGGCTGAGGAATTCTGGGAGTTGAAGTCCACAAGTCAGAAAAGGGCCAAGTTTGAAGACCCCTGATCAAGGCAGTTCACAGCAGGGATCTTCCTACATTTTATTCCTATACAATAAGTTTGTGAAGTTGGTTGGGCTATGCCAGGGGTAGGCAACCTTGGCTCTTTTATGACTCGTGGACTTCAACTCCCAGAATTCCTGAGCCAGCCATGCTGGCTCAGGAATTCTGGGAGTTGAAATCCACGAGTCATAAAAGAGCCAAGGTTGCCTACCCCTGGGCTATGCAAATATGATTGGTCCAAAGTTACCCAGTGAATTTCCAATGCATGTGTGGATAAAGAATAGCATATATTTCTTGCTTTGGAAATGATTTATCAAATTTGGGGATGGATGGAGACAAACAGATGGATAAATTTAAAAGAGTAGATGCAGAAATTGGATGAGTCTAGATGTTTGAAGGTTGGAAGGTCTCAGATCTTAAATCCTGGCTCTACCTCCTGCTTTATAGTTATACTTTGGTAATTCTTTCAGCTATAATGATCATTCAGATGAACCCTCATCTGGCACCCTCCCGCAACATCAGATATATGAGAGAGATAGAACTGTCACACCCTGTAATGCCATTCTGCGCATTAAAAAGTAAAAGAAAATAATTCCTATATTACCATCTCCTAGCAATAGAGCATTAAGGCACTGGCTAGAAGAATTAGCCCAGCTCTCCACTCCTCCCCTTCAACTCAGTGTTGATAAAGCCAATACACAATCTAATGCTCCAAGCAGCACATAAGATGGCACTGGTACCTTACAGTTAGAATTTTCTATCCCACAACTCCAGTAAAGAAACAAAGAATGCCTCCTTCTTCCTCTTCCATGTTGAGGCTATGGCAAAGAGCAAACAAAAAGCTAGCACAGAATCTAGTTAAAACATATTTACTTATATTTACAGAAATACCCATTTTTCTTGAAGCTGCCAAGATATCAGTGTTAGTATTTGGGAATAAGTTCCTCATTTATGAATTGGATAAGCATCAATTCTTATGTATTTGAGATCTTAAAAATTCTTGGCTTGGGGGAAAACAAATACTGAAATCAACTTTTCATCCTAGAGCAGATGTTCACTTTAAATTGTCTCAGTCAACACAGTTTAAAGCATACTTGAAATATGGCACTCCTTAAATGGAACTCTTTCATATATAGAAGCTGTCATGTTGTTCTCCTATGTTAAGTAAAGGGTACAGTCCTTTGATATGTAGGCAGCGTGTACTGTTTTCTTCCACTTCACAATGACATGTTTCTTTTATACAGCAAAAATAATTTTAGGAGATTCCTTAGAGTCACACCAGATTGCTTCCTGAAATTCAATGTTTTCTCTCTCTCCCTCCCTCCTTCTGCACACGCACGCGTGCGCGCGCACACACACACACACACACAATAATAAGATTGACTTCAGTAAATGAGGGGGTAAATCCTTAGTTAGAAGTTACATGAATGTAGACAATCCAGTTCCTACGCAGCAGAGATTAGGGATCGTTGCATCTTCTAATCAGACTTATAAGTAGAAAATTGAGCTAAAATCTCTCCATAGTCATTTCTAATTCGTTTGTTTTAAAATTCAGCAGCCCTCTCAAATACTTTTCCTAATGTTTACCTCCAGTTGCATTGGAATCCTCAAATCTCACATTAGAGAACATGAAATTTCTGCTTCCAGTTTTACTCTTCGTTGGATAGCTCTTTGATTTTTGATACTCTTCAACATCTTCATCAACGATTTGGATGAGGGGATAGATGAGGAACTCATCAAATTTGCGGATGACACCAAGCTGGCAGGAATAGCCAACACTCCAGAAGACAGGCTTAAGATACAGGAGGACCTGGACAGACTTGAACACTGGGCGCTATCTAACAAAATGAAATTCAGTAATGAAAAAAGTAAGATTCTACATTTAGGCAAGAAAAACCAAATGTACAGGTATAGTATAGGGGGTACCTTGCTCAATAGTAGTAACTGTGAGAGGGATCTCGGAGTCCTAGTGGACAATCACTTAAATATGAGCCAGCAGTGTGCTGCAGCTGCCAAAAAAGCCAACACAGTGCTGGGCTGCATTAACAGAGGGATAGAATCAAGATCACGTGA